TGTGTGTGTGTGTGTGTGTGTGTGTGTGTGTGTGTGTGTGTGTGTGTCAGCAGTCACCTCTTCCCCTCTCCCCCCGTGTGTGTGTGTCAAAATAAACCCTTTCTTGAGTTGCTTTCTCACAGAAACAAAAAAAGTAACAGTCACTCTTAGGCACACTTGGTGCCTGATAAGTTGGCAGAACCTAATGACAAAAGAGACAGGGCAGGGATGGAGCTGGTACGTGTGTTGGCCGTGCTAGATGACACTAGGGTTGGCTTCTATGATGCAAAGTATGAGGGCTAAGTGAAGGACTTAGTGTAGATCCAAGCTCAAAGTTTACTTACTGTGTGACCTCAGGCAGATGACTTGATTTCTCTATGTCTCATCCCCAGAAGTCATATGGAGCTTAAGAAAAAAAGAAAAAAAAAAAGCTAGTTTGGTTAGTTTTCAACACCTTTGAAAGTCTTAGGTCAGTGCCTTGCCCTCCGTTAAGAGTTCAGTGAGTTTTAGACACGCCTGTATTCTGTAAATGTCTGGGTGTGAGCTCCCTGGGGGAGAAGATACGTCTTATTCACCTTTTCTCCCTCTCCACTCCACCTTGCCCAGAGCAGGTTCCTAGGAAGTACCAAATAAAGTCTGGAATGCAGACTTCTTGGCAATGGGTCCAGTGCTGACACCTCTCCTAGACTGTCAGGTCAGCTGGTTCCTCCACGGCTGGTCCTCTGCTTGGGTGGCACAGACAGGAAGCCTCCTCTTCCCAAGGGTGGCCTAGTGACTTGGCTTTCCAGCTCCGCCTGCCCAGCCCCAGCCTCCACTCCTAGACAGTAGGCAGCTCCCTGCCCTCCACACCCAGCCGTGGAGGACTTGGGTATGAAGCAAGCTGTGCCTGCTTCCTCGGGAGGAGATCCTGGGGTTTCTGTTACTACAGCCTTGAGCCCACCATGGGAAGGGCAGGAGGAAGGAGCTGGCGGCTGGGAGACTTGGAGGATAGGGGCTTTCTGGGCTTGTGTGCGCTCTGACTCACTCTGCAAGTGCTGGGAGAGAAGCAGAAGCCCAGTGCTTAAGGGTCAGGTCTATCCCTTGAGGGGCCTGGAGAGAGAGGGAAACCTGAAGTCAAGCTTGAAAGAAGAGCTACGTTAGCAGGAAGGACCAGAAGAGAACAAGGGGATCTAGAAAACAGGAACCTCTGTGTGTGTGTGTAAATGGCTATGGGTGTGAAACCACCTGTCATGGCCTGCCCAGACTTCCTGACCAGCAGAGGGGCCACAGGGAGGAATCTTGACCTAAGCGTTTGCCTTCTACTTAAGGCAGAGGGTGCTGACATGATACACAGGCCTATTTGTACCCTGACCGTTGACCGTTCCCTTCTTTGAGGTTTGGTTGCCTCATCTGTGAAATGAGAATAAGCACCTTCAGGGCTGATGTTAGGAACAGTATCTCTCTCTCTCTCTCCCTCTCCCTCTATCTCCCTCCCTCGCTTTCTCCCTCCCTTCCTTCCACTCTGTAGCCCAAACACACACACACACACACACACACACACACACACACACACACGGGGGAGGGGGGAGACAGAGAGCCAAACATTTGAGAAAACAGTAATATAAAAGTCAGTGACCCTTCCCTGACCCAAGTCCCCCACCTTGAGACAGTCTGCCCCTGTCCATCGCTCTTCTTTCCTCCTTCATCTATCCAGGTCTCAGTTTGAGTCTACCTCATGCATTCAGACCCTTCTTAGGGTCCACCACAGGTACCGGGAGCTGCTCCTGTAGAGAAATGAGGCACTCACATAAGGTCAGGAACTCAGAGACAAGCAGAGGAGATATCCTAGAAAAAGATTCAGAAGTTCTGCATTCTGGGGCCAAGCCAGGGTCTGGGCAGAGCCCAGCAGGAGTGCAGAGATGGGACGGAAGGGTGTTGAGTGCCAGGGAGAAAACAGCAGGGAGGCTCCCGGAGGACAGGAAGGCTCCCTGAGCTCACAGTCATATCTGCAAAGCTGAAGACAGTGTCACCTTTCTGTGTTTGCCAAGAGGTCCTTGACTCCTGCCACTGGTGCCAATCTCAAAGCAGAATCACCTGAGGCCTTTTGCAGACCCACATGGGAAGGCCAGAAAGGACATTTCCTCCCTAGCTTCCCTTCAGAGTGGCCCCTTCCACACCCTTGGCTGACTCTTGATCCCTGTGTGTCCTGGCTCTGTGTCCCACTCAGAGCCCCTGTCTGCATGGTGACTCCACCTCAACCCGGCCCGTGTCCTGACCCCACTGAGTACAGCTGCATCCTGGAAAATGGTGTCCACCCACTTACAGTGGCTTCTGTCCCAGACAGGACTGGGCCTCTGCTCTGTCCCCTGCAGACAGAGTGTGTGAAGGGGACAGAGCGTGTGTTGGCCATGCTAGATGACACTAGGGTTGCCTTATATGATGCAAGGTATGAGGCTAAAGGACCCAGGCTCCCCTAACCCTTTGTTTGCTTTTGTTGGAGCTGCCTGACCCCTCAGTTTCGTTTCCCACCATTCTATCCACACAGAAGGTTTTCATCCTTCAACCCAGACAAAGAGTTCATCTGAGCCAGTTTCCAATTATCCCCTTTAATCCCCATGCTGAATATTTTTTAGAGCAAAATTTATTATATTTTCTATATCTCAGAAATAGAGAGTTGAAGAATGTTTAAACTTATTGGAGCTGTCCAACTTTCAATGCCTCTTCCTATTTGGGTGTGTTCCAGGCCAGCTAGGACTATGAGACCTTATCAAGAAGAGGGAGAGAGAGTGAGAGACTCCACCATGTGACAGTAGAAATAATCCTTAAAAATACTATCATGCAAACACAAACAAACAAAAGATTTAAATCTGGGCAAGGTGGTGCATACCTGTAATCCCAGCACTCTGGGTGGCAGAGGCAGGCAGATAGCTGTGAACTCCAGATCAGCCTGGTCTACAAAGCGAGTCCAGGACAGCCAAGGCTACACAGAGAACTCCTGTCTCAAAAAAAAAAATCATCAAGAGAAATCACTATGAAATATTAGAGCCCTAAGGATAGAGGAAACATTTAAAGAAATTCAGAAGGAAAAGGCATTTTATCTCAACAATGCAAACCAGAGCACCAGCAACTTCTAATTCTTAGAATCAACCTATGGACCAGTTATCAAATGGTTTAACCATAGGTGCGGGTCGGAATGTCATCATGTAGACCAGGCTGGTCTCTTTGCTATCCCTAGGTTCATCTTGAATGTCTGATCCTCCTGCCTCCCTGTCCAGACTGGTAGGATTAAGGTGCACCACCATGCCAGGGCTCTGTGCGCGCTAGGCAAACTGTCTAACATCCCCAGCCCCAAATGCCACAATAAAAACATTATCAACAACAACAGTAAAACTCATGAAGCCCTAGGTTCAATCCTCTGTGCTCATACTCCAGACATGGCAGTGCACACCTGTAAGCCCACTGTTCTGGAAGTGGAGGGAGGAGGACCAGAAGCTCAAGCTAATCCCAGGGATACCAAGTTTGAGGCCATCCTGGTCCACATGAGACCCTGTGTGAAAGAGAAAAGAAAAACAAACAAAAAAAGCCTAGGTTAATCCTTGGAAAATCTCTGTAAGCTTGGAAATTTTCAAAGTCAAGAATTAGGGAAATAGAGAGGGGAGGATTGGGAGGGAAAGAGGGAGAGGGCTATAGCTGGGATACAAATGAATGTATAAAATTATTTAAAAATAAAAAATATTAAAAAAGAAAAAATTAATTAGGTAAATAAAATTAAGAAACTGAAGAAAACTAAAATTAAACATGGTTGAAGGTGGTTGCTTTAGGAGATGCTGAGGTGCGGCTAGTGCTGCCTTAGCAGCCTGTCATTTCTGCTCTGCAGCTCTGTTGTTCACTTTTGTGGTATTGGGGCTGGTATCGAGGGTCTCACAAGTGCCTGACCGCTAA